ATGTCAATAAAAATAGGATTGGTGAGATGTTTAAGTGACAGAGCACAAAAACTAAGTAGTACCAAGGAAAATATAAGACAGGAAGTGATACACATAAAAGAAGACTTGAAACTTTATAATTATCCTGATAAATCAGTTAGGAAATATGCAAGGAAACGTAAAAATAAAATGAATAATGATAGTAGCGATAGTGATAATGACAATAATAATGATAATAATAATAGTGATGATAATAATAATATTAATGACGATATGCATGTCGAATATGTGCAACACCAACAATAAGGAATCTAAATCATCAGTAGTAATTCCATACAAGGTAGGAACCTCGGAAACCACCTTACGTAGAATTCTTAACAAGGCAGGAATAAAAGTAGCATTCAAACCCACAAACTCAATTAGAAACAAGCTTTGTCGGCTAAAGGATCCTGTGGAGCCTTTAAAACAAAACGATTTAGTTTATCTAATAACCTGCAATGATTGTCAGGTCAAATACATAGGTCAAAGTAGTAGAACAGGGGCAGTCAGACTGGCCGAACATAAAAACCTAGCAAGATGTAGATTGGTTGACCCGAACAGGATAAGAAATCTAAAAAATAGTTCAGCTTTAGCACTACATGCAATTACACACAACCATACAATAGGATACAATAAGATGATAGTTTTAAAATCTAATGTCACAGGGTACAAAACAGAAGCTTTGTTTATCGAATCAACTGCAAATACATGTAATAGGAATGATTCATCACCTGTCCCCGATATCTGGAAAATTCTACTACCCATACGACAAGTAGGAGAAAACAAAGAAAACTATAAAACTCAAGTTTCAAAGTCGTGTGATTACAATTGACATGATTATGAACAATAAATTTTGTCCGAAACTGTCATCCAGTAAATAATACTGTCTCACTGTCTGATATACGTAATAAACAAACTAATATGGAATTACTTACTACCACAGTGCCCAAGTTTTACACATATATTAATAAAGCAATCATTCATATTGATCTTGTGAGAAGGCATGAGTAAATTCTTTGCACTGGATGATCCTGGATTTCTATTCAGAGAACATACATTCGGGTTTTCTATGTAACTTAATAACTATTTGGGAACATGTTATTTCTGATAATATTGGAACTTGTTGCATTTACTGGCTGGCTTCCCGCAACTGCAGGTGGATACACTATGAAGCGCTGTCCGTAGATGTTTGCCCTCTAATCTTAGACAAAGGACCTGACAATGTTCGACACTTGATGAATAGGGATGCGGCATTTAATATTCGCTTGATAGCTGGCCGAAACCACTGACTATAAGTTGCATGATTTGACGGCCGCTGTATGGTACTTTTGTCATCGCGAAATGGTCGCACCATGTCGTGAAATGGCAGAAGTTAGAATTCAAGGACCATTGGATCGGGTCCTATTGGCTCAGTGGTCTACGAGCTCGCCTTGTAATCAGAAGATCCTGGGTTCGAAACCCAATGGGTACGTAATGCCGAAGAGTCCCAAACTAGGACGAAACAGCTGAACAGTACTCCCAGGTTTTCCTGTGGTTCTCTAACTGATTCCAACTCATGATGAAATCCTCCATGCAATCAAGCAAAAATCCTTACAAAACCAATACTTGAAGAATGCATTTGACAAAAGACTGAAAACTGGACCGGTTAATTTCGCTCAGTAGGGCGCATAGTCTTCGTTTAAGCGTTCAGAATGGAGTCTGATTCAAGTTGCAGGAATGTATAGGTCGTTACTGTGATGTCAAAGGTGCGGTTAGTCAGAGAATGAGGATATGCCTCAACCAGTGCTTCACATTATTCACGCCCAGGTGTAAAGCGTTTCATTTAAAATCACCTCATCAGCTAAGATATATCAGCTGGAACAATACTGTACTCAGTAGGCTTAGGAAGGTGGGCACTACAGAAGTTTAGGAACGAGGGAAGATGAAATATCCTTGAGTGGTTATCTGATTGGAATGTTTTCCAATTTAGATGAATTCTAGTTCGCTTTCAAACTTCGCTAAGCAATAGACAATCATTAAGTATTATGACTTCAGCATCGAGATTAGCTCATTGAATTCAGATTTGGAAAATCAGTCGAAAAAATTCGGACATGTTCAGTTCAAAGAAGGATTTGGATGAACTGTGTGAACATTATGATCCCCTTGGTCCGAAAACTGCGTATAAAAAACATGTATTTGCGCAGTTAGCCCAATGACATTACTGGAAGCCACGTGATGTTAGGGAACAAAAATCTCGAGAATCCCCCTCACTCATAAGCGAAGAAGCGAACAGGATGGGATCAAAAGCTATGATAAGGATAGGTTTAAGGTGATTAAGTGTCCAACTTGCTTACTACACAGAGGCACCTGAGGGTTCATTAGGAAGGACATGGGGGTCGGCAAACTGAAGAGAGGTAGAAGGGAAATTTTGGGTTCACAACATTGCGAATTCTCAAGAATAGGAATAAACGTATCTGATAACATCTTACATTAAATAAAGAGTAGGAAGTTGGACACATTAGTATTTTCCACCTTTGTAGATGCTCTTGAGAGTTCACCATGTGATGATCCCTAAGTTGAGGTCGGAGAATTCAGATTTTGATATATGGTATTTGGTCACTGAAATTCGACCTCTGAGTGAACGCTTTCTCGGAGAAGACGGGTCACCAAGAATTTGTGTTGTACGGGGTTTAATCCAACTCACGTCCTACTCACTATCTCAAATCTCTGAAGACTGAGGAGAAGACCAGTTAAATAAATGTAATCTACATATTGACCCAACGCAATACTAACTAAGTGACCGAATCATGAAGTCTACATTCTTGTTCTGACGCCCAAACAACTGACCATTTTATCCCTTGCCCTGTCTCAAAGGGTTGGAGATACGCCCCTCCTTTGGATAACACGAGAGATTCAGACGTAAACACAAATTTTGGAATCGGTTTGCCACGCTTGAGACTTCTGAGACCAGGCAATTATATAACATTGCTAGATATAAAGCTATTGCAGAAATCCGCTAATCAAGGATGAAGTTCGAAGCATACCTGGCTCTGCATTTTGCAGAGGCACAACCTAAGAAAATTTTCCCGTACACGAACTTCAGGAATAAAACATACAATGATACAATTGAAGAAGATCAAGAAAAAGTAGAGGCAATGGCAAACTACTTCTCCCGAGTCTTCACTCAGGAGCCATCACCGCCCAAAGGATCAGCTCTGGCTGTATCAGAAGAACATGGGATGGATTCCGTTGACATCGACCAAGGCATCGTGCTCAACTGCCTAATGAAACTAGATGCAGGGAAATTAATAGGTCCTGATAATCTTCATCCAAGGCTTCTCAAGGAGCTATCAGCTCACATAGTCGGCCCTTTGACAACGATCTTCAAGCTCTCTCTCCTAAATGGAGTGTTACCGCGTGACTGGAAAGACGCCATAGCCACCCATATCCACAAACGAGGATCAAGACAAACCCCCTCGAATTACAGGCCTATCAGTCTCACCAGCACTTTAATCAAGACACTGGAAAGAATCATCAAGAAAAGCATCATGGCATGTCTGGAAACCAACAAAATGTTATCCGGAGAAAAGCACGGCTTCCGAAGAAACCTCTCATGCCTGTCAAATCTCCTCACTACGAGAGAAAGCTAGGTCAAAGCAAGGGACAACAGAAGACCCGTTGAAGTCATCTTCACAGACTTCAGCAAAGCCTTTGATATAGTAACTCACAAAAGACTACTCATGAAGTTGGAAAGTCTTGGTATCGAAGGTAGATTACTAAACTGGCTCAGAAAATTCCTCATAGATAGGAGGTAGAGGGTTGGGATAAACTCGAAACTCTCCTTTTGAACGGCGATGGGTGGCGGAGTGCCACGAGGAACGGTACTTGGACCTCTCATATTTATTTTTTTTATCAATGAAATATCTCTGCTCAGAGATTCACCTATAATCCTATACGCAGATGACTTAAAAATTCGCAATGAGCTGAAAGGCAACAGTGGCACGTCCATGTTCCGAGAGGCCTTCAACAAATTGTCAGAAAGGTACATTTAATGGATGCTCCCAATCGATGTAGCGAAATGTGCAACCATGCACATCGGACACACAAGCATCAGCTCCTACGAACTAGAGGGAATAACACTCCCATCAGTTCAGACTCATTTGGACTTAGATGTCGTAGTTAGTCACGATTTAAAAACTACAGCACACTGTCGCGCCATGGCTGCACGTAGTTTCAGGTGCTTATGGGCAATTCGCAGAGCCTTTACTAGAATCACCAGAGATATGTTTACCTCCTTATATCGTCAGTGGCAAAGAGGTTAGGACGCTTGCCGACCATGCACATGGTCCGGGGTTCGATCCCCGACCGACGCGCACCCGATATCAATTGTCGGCCTGCAAATTTTTGGCTACTGATATCGCAGGCTGAAAATTTTATGCTTGTCTCAAAAGACTGCATGGAGTCAAGCTTTAATAAAACAAAAATAAAAAGTAAATTATATACATCTCTGGTGAGATCAAGACTGGAAAGCAGGCAGTCAGTCCTTGTCCTAAAGGGGACTCACATATCCTAGAAAGGGTTCAAAGGAAGGCGACACGTATGATTCTCGGCATGACTATATCATCATACGAGGAAAGACTAGACAGTTTAATTCTCTTTTCCCTGCCATACCGTAGGCAGAGAGGAGTTTTAATCACGTTTAAGATTTTAAATAATGACTACTGACTTGACCTATTCGCTCTTTTCCTTCCAACCATGTTGGAACAACTTAGGCAACATAGTAGGAGAGTTTAAGTGCCAAGAAGAAATCATATGGCTGTTGAGTACTGGTTCTCACACCAAGTCATAAACTCTTGGAACCGACTGCCAGAAGAAGTGGTGCCTGCGACCTTAGCTTATACATTCAAAAAGGGTTTAGAAAAGCACAGAAATTTATCAGAAAAGGATTAAAACAGGCTCCAAGCCTTCTATCCTCAACCAATAAATCTGGAATCTGACTGAAAGGTTGTTTTAAACATGCATTCTTTTAGGTCATTCTAGTTGTTTAAAATAGCGCTTAATACGCCCTCTTATGGAGTATGAGAAAATTACGAGACTGTTATATCATGAGTGGAATATTTGAAGCCATAGACAATCATATTGTTGCTTTCTTGTCGTTTCCTGCTATCGTGTGTTGTTTGATTCTGGTCAAATTTGTTTGGTAAGTACATCTCTATACTGAAGAGGTTATTATTGTATTTGAAGGGATTACTTTCGGCCTTCTGCACCTGCTAGATCTAGTCTCCTATCGTCAAATGGCGTATTCAGCGGAAGTGCTGCGGATTATGATTGTCCGATTTGTATGGACGCTGCATCTTTTATGGTAGAAACTAACTGTGGTCATCGATTTTGTGGTATGGCCTTTTGTATCAATGTTACTTTTTTGATTTCTTTATGATAGTGAATGCGTTTGTTGATTTTGTGTGTATTTAGGTTTTGTGTGAAAACCAAAGTCACTCCCAGTTGTCATTTTCCAAGAATAAAGTGGAATTTCACGTTATATCCAGTTATAATGCAACCTGTCGCACATCGCACTTAATTTTTCGTGTTTGTCTGTGATGGTTCTGCAAGTGAAAGTTCTAACTATTGGAGGCAACTACTGATGGGTCAGAGTGATGTAGTCAGGTGGTGTCTATTCCATATCATTTTAGTTGGACATCCACCTCCACCCTTCATTCTGTTAACATAAATAAGCTATAATCAGTAATTATACTGTTCAACTTGCGCAGAAGCATAAAGGGTCACAACCAAATATGTGAAAATGAGCCTGATCCATAATCGAAACGATTCTGTTCCTTTTTGTAGAGGTAGCACGAGTCCCCTTTCACTGTCTTACGTGTTCCGGGGAATTCGCTACTTGTATGAAGTTTTCAAGAGGTGGTCTTGGTATCCTTAACATATCCTCATCATTGCATTTAAAAGCCCTTTAAACTGGGCATAGATGTTAGAATGCTGTAGCTGCAGTCGCATTGGAATGTATCGCTGTTTTTGATGTGGTATGTTCTCTGAGCTGGATGATTTTATTGCTAAGCTTGCGTTGTCATTTTATATAACTTCGTCGGCACGTGATTTAGTATAAAGTGAACTTATCTGAAATCTACATGGATGATATAGTTGCATCTTCTGACAGACAACCTTTGTTGGGATTGTCCGTTAATTTGAAACTTTATCGAGCGGTTTTAGTCACTTGGGAATTCGAACTATTTTGTCATGTGGTTGGTTCTTCATTAGTTGGCAGATTACCTAGTTTAGAGAACACAACCAAATCAAAACTATCCACCTGGGCTACAAAATTTTCTGCATAATTTCAGCGTATATCTCTGTCTTCAGGGGAGTGACGAATAAGCGCCTCTGAATGCTTCCATCGTCAGTACAGGGCGATGGTGGTTCACCTGTTAAATAAAGGTGAAAAAGTTTGCCAAGATGTAATAATGTTCCTTTATCGGACTAGACTTTCTGCTTTCTTCATATCCATGTTCTCTTACTGTCTCACTACTGGTTGGAGTGGAAGAACACTAAGGGTAGATTAATTGGTGAAAATGCTTGAAATAATTGGCTTCCATTTTCTCCGTAGCATTACACACACTTGCACTGAAATAAATTGCGGCATACATAAGGTGCTAGAAAAATGAAGTGAATCATTCGATTCATTTACGATATTTCACTTAATGAAGTTTCGTCATCAAGTCATAAACGAGGCTGTAAAGTTACATCGACTGAGATAGTAAGGGTATGTGTTACGCATATCTAGCCATCACCTTCGTCGACGGGCAATGTAGTCTGACATAAGGTCAGGTTGGAAAAGAGCCAGTGGTGGTATGGCATCAGTCAATGAAATCCACAACAATTAGTTTAAGCCACGTAGGAAGGTGCAGACTTCTTGGTCGGGGTCCTCGGGACGGTAAACACCAGTGGCTAGAGACAAATGGTACTGTGACTCAAAATCGTTCTCAATGGTGCAGATGCATCCACTCCTTGTGATTTATAGTACCCAATAAATTTCCATTGTTCTCCTTTATTACCATTCTTTTTGTCTCGTATCTCTGTTTACTGTCTCTATTTTGCATTTCTTTTTACTTCTCTTGCTTTGTGTACTACATGGTGTGCCGACTCGAACTGCTGCACATCGGTGCACAGTTCTATGTTGAAACTAGTTAGTTAGTCAAGTTGTCACTTAAGTTGACATGTGGGTTCAAAGCTTACTAAGACTAACAGTGAAACGACGGTACTAATATTTAAGGGCTCTTATTGACAATCTGGGACATTCGCATATTAGGTTATGTGAAAAACATGCAAATGGCGAAGGAAATTTTCTTTTCGACGATACATTTTCAAATACTTCTGTATAATCGTAACTATATTTAACGAAGAATTCATAAGATCAGTCAATCAGATACTGGGAAAATTTGTCCTGGAAAATACATTACTCAACGCAAGGTGTGGTGTAAAAGGGGATGTCTAGTTGAAAATTCGAAAAAACTAGTAGAAGTTGAGATGACGTAATAGGTACGAAAAAATGACTAATCCATGTAATTGTGTAAGGTGGAAAGACGATAAAGTATTTTTATAATATCTGTATGGAAGTGCTATGCTATTAGTAAGCAATTATAGCGTGATGATGAAACAAGGATGTTAAGAATAATAACAATAGTAAACTTACATAATAAAATGAAGTAAAATTATAGTAAGAACGTTGCTCTGGACACGGTAGAGTGGCGAGCCATTGTATGTAGTGCTTTCGAATGCGAAGGTCTGGTTTCCGATCTCGAATAGCCAATTATTCAGCTATGTATAGATGGCGTATTTGAAGTCTTCTCATGCGATATTGAGGAATTCTGTGAAGCATTGATGCAGAGGTGCTCCATATCCAGAGTTGGTAAGGTGTTCGAGGATAGAGTTACTGGTGTTCTTCTTTTCTCCTCTGGCTGTCTAACCAGGCTAGACAGTGAGTGTTCCACAACACTTTTGCAGACTTGACGTTGCGTACGACCGGTGCACTTTGCTCCACACGAACAAGTAAACTGATGAACGCATACATACTGAGGTGGTCAAAAGCGCTTTGCCGACTGCATTAATTGTCTGCTGGAGAATATGGTGCGTGAAGTGGATACTTGAAATTATATATATGTATATGCATATCGTAATTATATTTATATATTTATACATAAATATAATTACGATCGCACAGCTTATGAAAAATGAATTACCGAAAAAAGAATTTTCTTTACTGTTAACGTTTTTTTCTTATGAATCTGGGACACATAGGGTCTCTTGGTTTGGGTTATCCCCCCTCTGGGAATTCCTGTAGGTGTTTCTGGATGGTGTAGCTTCCGAATGATCGAAAAAGCATTGTGGTATTAGATATTCTGTCTGCTCCTCGTAGTCTCCTAGCGTGGTGTGTCTTCTTATTACGCATTTTTGTTTGTCTGTCTCCCTTAGGTGTGTTGTTGCCTTTTGCTCCAGTTTGCATGTGCAACATGCACAAACAAAATTGTTACGTAGAAGCGATAGTCCCTACTATTGGTAATAGATGTTTACACGGTAATACGGTCTAATTTTGTTTTAGTTCTTTTCTCTGAGGAGGGGCTGCCCTTAAACTTAATTGCGAAGCAATTTCGTTGTCTCCCATCTACACAACATCCACCTTCAGAACAGGTTTCAGTATGAAATGGACTTATTTGAATTCGTCATGAATGATATAACTGACAGACAACTTTTGTCGTGATTCGTTGTTAATTTAAGTCTCCATTGACCATTTTTATTGACTTCGAATTCCAACTCTTCTTGGTGTCATGGTGTGAGTTCGAACACTTCTTGATAAGATTGTGTGTGTTTCTGAGGGGGAAGTATTCATCCTTTTTTTAAACAGTTAGTGGTAGGTATTTTTCTTACATTCTCTTCAGCACCGGAGGGCTATAGTGCTTTTGGACTCTTTTAAACAATGTCCCCATACAGTTTCTTTCATGAGGCTCTCACTGGGTTATTGATATCATAGTTGACTATTTGATCTGTGTTGTGTGTTGATTTTCCACATACTTGTGTTTCTAAATTTCCTGTGTTAGTTCTCTTGATTAAAACCTGGAAGAACGAGACTTTGTTGTCTAATTCTTCTTCTTCTTCTCCTCTCGTACATTAACAACCACTCACCACGACAATCCTTTCCAGGAGGTGGATACAATCATTCATGGAGAGAGAATTCAAATAAGGTCATTGCATGCTGAAACCTGTACTAAAGGGGGGGGATGCTGTGTAGATGGGAGACAATGAAAGCGCTTTGCGATTAAGTCTACAATCAGCCCCTTCTAAGAGAACACAACTAAATCAAAATCATATACATGAACTACAAATCTACATTGTACGCTCGTATTGTTGTTATACGCAACAAGTTATTAAATTATATATATATAATATTGTTTTTGACTAATTTTCACGACTGTATTTCGTGTTTTTTGTTTTTAGCTGAGTGCTTCACAGCACATTGGAAACGAACAATCTACTCACGTGCTATATCTTGCCCAATGTGTCGTGGACAAGTAAGCAGTAACTAGCTAATAGAAAATTTGTAGCAACAGTAAGGAGTCGATATCACAGTCAAATGACCTTGAACCAACCAGTCAGGTCGCTCAGCATTACAAATGGATCCTATTCATAATCTGTGTTAGAAGTTTCCCTCTAACCCAAATCTTCGTTGATTCAGGATGAAACTTGAAACGAAGAATATTTGAAAAGCATCCTTTTGTAATGCTGAGCAGCGATCTGATTGGTTGGTTCAACCGTCATTTGACTGTGATGCCTATTCTTTACTGTTGTCAAATTTATTTTTCTCATTATCACTTGTATACAATTACTAATTTAAATATTTTGATAAATATTTCTTTCCTCCTTGAAAGTTCATATATGACCTACGAAAATATCTTTCAATTTCTCACCTTGTGTTTTGTTTAATAAATTCATCACAACTACAATCAAATCTTATATTACAAATTTAGTTTGTAAAGTCACTCCTAATTATACCTAGTGTAACCACTTTCTATGAAATTCATTTGCACCGTGCATATGTGTATTTCAAAATCTTACTATTACTAAAAATGAGAAGTTATTTTATGAAGTAAAAGTAGATAGATTATTTAGCACAATAGATATAAAAATATGTTCATTGATTATCTAAAATTCATCAATGCCACTTTTATGAACATTAACCACTGCGTTCTAACTAAAAAGAGACGGTTTAGTTAGTCTAGTTACACAAGAGATCAAACAGGGCATAGAATGTTGCAGTCAAAGCTCTACCTCTACTTCATTGACTTTGAAAAGACCTTCAGTGGTGTTGACGACCGCTAAGTAATTTAAAAACTAATTCAACACTATGGCGTGCAGTGCCTCGAATCTTTATCAACTTCATTCAACAAATGGCTGTGTGAAAGTGGCACGTGTCAAGTAATCTACAACAGGGAACTCAGTGAAGCGGACGAAGTGAATACAGGAGTAAGAAAATGCTGCCTATTATCACCAACGATGATATTACTAATTATGGTGGACTGCATTATGCGTCACACCGTGAGTGCGGAGCGACGAGACAGGAATGATTTGGACCGATAAGATGACTCTAGAAGATCTGGATTTCGTGGAGGTATATGTATGTTCAATGACACGAATTCGAGGACTTACAGGCGAAAACCAAGAAACTGGCAGTAGAAGCAGTCAACGAAGAGAGGACTCCAGGTCAACATTAAGGAGACGGAGGTGATGAAGATAACCAACCAACAACAACAACCTCCGCCGGCTGTCTCGATATTGAAAATAAAATGGCCGGCTGGCCAGAAAGAATTAGTGACAAGAAGCTGTGGGAACAAACTAACCAAGAACCCATATATAATTGGTGGATGGTGACTAGCAGTGGAATCCAGGACTCGCATTTCGTACTATTTGGGACTCGTCATCTAGATGTACCTGCATTGCCCAGTTAAGCAATTAAATAATTAATATGACCCGTTGCACAAGAGGTGGCTCTCGTGGTCCAAGTGGTCTAGTGGATAACGCTTTGCCGTTTGAAACTATGGGCACTGGGTTCGAGCCTTGGTGGGAACATCATCACTCACTGGGGAGTGCAGGCACATCCATATAAGTATAAAACTTGGGCACTGTGGTAGAGTATAATTCCATAATGGATAAGAATTTATTTTGATAAATCACACAGTGTAGTACAGTTATATTAACTGATGACGTTTCGAGCACAAACTATTGCTCATAATCATATCAAGTTACTCACACAACTTCTTTCCTTCATTTATATACATGTGTGGAATCGACTAGATATTGGAATAAAATTCAATATGAGATAATGTACATTCAGAAATAATAGTACGAGTGTTATTAATCCATTGCAATTAGATGGGAAATACAACGAGTGTTTTTACAGTCATAATAAGTTGATTGTTAGAATGTTTTGATGTGTTTGAATGGAAATAGAATACAATTTAAGATTATTTATTATCCGCTTCTGATTTGACTGGTGGGAATAATACGAGTGTTATTAATCCATTGCAATTAGATGGGAATTACGACGAGTGTTTTTATAGTCATAATAAGTTGATTGTTAGAATGTTATGATGTGCTTGAATGGAAATAGAATTTTAAGACTATTTATCTTCTTCTGATTTGACTGGCGGTAATAATATCTTCCATATTTCTGGTATTTGCATTGAGTCACTTCTGTTGCATGTGTTGGGTGTAGACCCGATGAATAAGGATTCCGTAATCAACCTCTCTTTCCACTTTTTAGAATTTTAACCCTATCCCACCCTATTGTGTGGTTGTTTGTTATTGCGTGAAGTGCAATAGCTGAGCTTTTTTCTAAATTACTTATCTTCTCTGGGTCAGCCGTTCTTACCTTAGCTAAATTCTTATGTTCTGATAATTTGACTATCCCTGACCTACTAGTTTGACCTATGTAGTTGACTTCACAGTAATTGCAAGGTATTTTATAAATTATATTATTTTGTTTAATGGGGTCCAACGGGTCCTTTAACCTACAAAGTTTGTCTCTGAGTGAGTTTGTTGGTTTGAATGCCACCCTAATTCCTACTTTATTGAGAATCCTACGTAGGGCCTCAGATGTCCCCTCCTTATATGGTATAACAGTAGAAGACTTATATTCTCTCTTATTTATGTTATTACTACTAGTTACACAATTATTTTTATTTTGTTTTTGGCGTTTACTGATCTTCTTAATGAATTTTATAGGATAGTTATTCAACACCAGTGTCTCTTCTATCTGTTTTATTTCGTCATTTAGGTCCTTTTTGTGCTACTTAGTGCTATGGCTCGGTTTGTCAGACACTTAACCAAGCCTGCCTTAACAGTTAACGGATGAGATGAATTAAAGTCTAAATATCTATTAGAATGCGTTGGTTTTCTATAAACACTAGTGTGTAGTTCGCCTTCTTCTATTCGTTTTATCTTACAATCTAACATGGTTAATTCTCCTTGTTCATTTTCTGATTCAAATGTGAATTTTATTCCTTCTACTTGTGAGTTTATATGTGTTAAGAAGCTAGAGATATGTTCTGTTTTTAACACTGTGAATGTGTCATCTACATATCTCCACCATATTTTTGGCCTAGGATTAAATGTATTGAGAGCACTATTTTCCCAGCTGTCCATAAAGATGTCTGCTACAATAGGGGATATTGGTGATCCCATTGCTACACCTTCAGTTTGTCTATATATTTTGCCTTGGAACTTGAAGATAGTAGATGTGAGGCATAGCTGAATCCCTAAAATAATTTCTTCAATGGACAGCTTTGTCCTATGATTGAGTTCAGTATCCGCAGTTAGTTCTTTTTTAACTGCTTCTAAGGCCATATTGACTGGTATATTAGTATAAAGACTGGTTATATCAAAACTGACCATTGTTTCGTCATTCGCTAGTTGAATGTCATTTAGTTTACTTTTCATCTCATATGAATTAGTTAATCTAGAGTTTGAATTATTTCTGATAGGGCATAGTATTGAAGCTAAGTGTTTTGATAATTCATAAGTTGGGGTATTTCTAAAATCTACTATTGGCCTTATTGGGTATCCTGGCTTATGTATTTTAATAGTACCATATAATCTACTAGCATTATTAGTTTTAGGCATTAAGTTAAACCATTTAGACTCACCCAGTGACGGCTTCATTCTGCGTATTAGTTCTGCTGTAGATTTCTTAACCTTGTTCATTATTGTATCTACAGGCTTCTTAATTTCCTCATATGGACCCGTTTGAATATGTTCAATAACTTTTTTGATATAGTCAGATTTATTCAGAACTACGGTGGCGTTTCCTTTATCAGCTTTTGCAATGACAATATTTTTATCCTGTTTTAGACTAATTAAAGCTTCTCTTTCCATTAAATTCTAATTATATACCCAAACATCGTCGAAGCATCTGCACAACAAGCCGAAATACCAAGCTGAGACCGAGCACTTCGGTCCAATCAGTCGACGGGAAAATTCAAAATTCAACTAAAAAAGAACCCATATGTCAAAAAATATGCAGGAGAAAATGAAGATGGATTGGGCACTCGCTGAGGAGACTGTTAAATGATGTCACGCTCAATGCAGGCTATCGGTCGAGTGAACTCAAATGGGAAACGACGAGTTGAGTGTTCCTCCGAGAGTGACATAGAGGAGATAAGTGATCATGGGCAATCGTGGGGCCGGCTAAAGAGGACCGCAGAGAATAGGACAAAGTGGAGATGTTCCACTCGGAACCCAAAGGAACAATAATAATACAGAAGATCTCAAGATTGCTTTATTAAGATGAATCGGCCAAAGATTTGTAATACACTTGTTTCTTATGCAAATAAAAATTGTACTACCAACTTCTAATAACCAATTTCATATTCTTCCAAATGATAAGCCATACCTATGAGATATAGCAAATACTCCTCAGCAGTCTAAACCTCAAAATTTAGTGGGTATTCAAAACTGTGACTGACTCAGTGGACAATAGACAAGTGTCGACACACAAAAAAAAGTTTCAGCTCTATTCATGGATGATAGAAATTATAAGTTACACAGGAATTGACAAGTTAAGTAGGTATAGTAATTTGAAGTAGTATAGAGTATAAGAGTGTTTCTCAAATTCCTCTTCTATAGCTTATCTGTATACCGTCTTCTTCACACATATCTAAGTGCAATCATCCCATTCATGTGCTGTCTTATTAAATAAATACCAAGAGTACTGTTTTAGTCAAATGTTGGTTTGCAGGGATTCGATTGGTTTCAGGATTTCATCATGATCTGACATTGGTTAGACGACTATTGGGAAACCTGAGAGTACTGGACATCTGTTTCGTTCTAGTTTAGGACTCTTCATCGGCACGCACTCACTGCAACTGTTCGAACACAGGGCCGTTAAGCCACTGGAACCTGATCTAATGGTCCATGAATTCCAACTTCTTCCAATTCATGGTATGGTGCGACCACTAGCGAATGTTATCTGCGAGTATTTCTCCTCGCAGCCGACCTGCTGTACCCCACTGGTCAT